GCCTTAAGCATTGCATTTTAATTGCTATAAAGGTCAAGCTTTGGCTGGGATTAGCAAATGATTGGGTAGAATCTTAATTGTTTGTATGACTGCTGGCTTTTGTCGAGCCTGTTTGCTGTTAGTCAGTGTTCATGCACCTTATTTAAAATCTATGTTTTGTTCTCGCAGCCAACTGGATAGTTTACTCATGTCAGGATTTAACCCTTTGTTTTTACAACTTCTTCCAACATCCTCGCCTCGCTGTGTCATGAAAGATCAGCATGTTTGGTAATGAACGTACCGCTGCTAAAGATTCAAAGTGCAGGCCGGCTAAACTCTAAGTAGTGTTTGTGACAGCTGGTCAATACACACCTCCATTAATATTTAAATATGGGAAGATTTTAAGTTTTCATGAAACCAACTAGATGTACTTCGAGTGGGTGGCAGACCATATGGTGTCACTGTTCTGAATAACAGATGACCTCAGATCGGATTTATCTGCGGAGCGAGAAGGGGGGAGAGAAAAGAAAAGGGAGATGGGGGAGATTTGGCAGCATTCCTCATCTAGCATTCATGCCAATAACGCAAACTGAGCTAAAACGAGCAGAGAGCTGAGGGGGGGTGGAGAGGGCTGAGAGAGCAGAAGCAGAGGAGGGAGTGCACATACAAAGTAGAGAGAGGTAACTTCCTGTTGCACTTCAGCCTATAGGAGAACTTCATGTAAGTTCCCCAACAAAGTAGGAGATATCTACCAATACTTTCACATACTTTGAGAATGCACTGCTCAAGTTACAGATACAGGAAACTTGACTTTGCTACACCTATCCATAGTAGTGAGGAGAGCAGCTGCCTGAGGGAAGACGAATGAGCAAAATGTGAAACAGGAGTGAGCCTGTTAAACATTTTCTACGGACTTAACAAATACCTATATGATCATTTTATATTCATTTAGTCTACAGATGTTTCAAAGTAATCTTCAACTATGTCTGAGACCTAAAGTGCATCTCAGATTTCATGTCTTCTTTCACTTCTTTATTACTACCGACTTGATTTTACAATCACGAGAGTTTAGCTTAGAGTGCATCTTGAATTTAAGAGCAGGAGAAGGAAAATGTTCAGGGAAGTTGCGAGAAAGTGCAAGATAAAGAACAAACGCAGACAAAAAAAAAAGTTGGGGGTTGGTAGGAGGAGCAAAAGGGGTGTGGGGAGTGGGGGGGTGGAAGGGGCACAAAAAGAACACCTGTTGAGATTAGGGTTGGCACGCGACCCACTCCAACTCGCGTGGCAGCTGTACCTCGCGGAAACAATGGCGGTAAAAGAATGAGACGGAGAAAGAAAGGGGGAAAGTTTGAATGCTCTGCTTATCCTTTCAGCTTGTGTGTGTGTGTGTGCGTGCGTGTGTGTGTGTGTGTGTGTGTGTGTGTGTGTGTGTGTGTGTGCGTGTGTAGGTGTGTGTGTGTATGTGCGTGCGTGTGCGCCTGCTTGTGTGTGTGTATTTACGTATCTAGGCGTGTGTGTATGTGTGTGTTACACATTCTAATGTGTACACTGAAAAACAGAAAGGGATGAGGGGCGGGAGGGAGAGCTACAGAGAAAGCAAAAGAAACAGAGAAGTCTGCCAAGAGACAGCAGAGGTGTGTATTCAAGTGAACTGTGAAGCCAAAAGTAGGTGAAAGGTCCTATTTATTTGGAATAGAATAGAATAGAATAGAATAGAATAGAATAGAATAGAATAGAATAGAATAGAATAGGACAAAAAAGGCCAGCTGTCAAGTGGGGTGCTTTAAACATGCAGTTTCAAGCTTAAAACATCTTACTAAGTACTGTGTAATCCATCACCTGAAAAAGGAAAGAGAATGGCACAATGACAAAGTTACTAAACACTCTAATCGCAGAGTCATAAATAAGAGAGTATTAATCAGGGAAGCAGCCAAGAGGCCCATTTTACCTCCGGAGGAGCTGTAGAGGTCTACTCTGTTGAAAAGACAACTGATAGTTGATCATGTAGGGGATACAGCAAACATGCAAAAGAATGTGAAAGTCAATAATCAAGGAGTGCGCTTCATTGTTTTTCTGAGCCTGAGCATATTTTGCAACAAAGAATTAGCAAAAATGCACATTTCAAGATGCACAAAGCCAGTGGACACATAACCCAAAAACATGCAGCTCTAACTGCGGTTTATGGAGGTTTTACAAATAAGTAAAAGTTCAAATGCATGCCACATTTGAATGTTTTTTTTTTTTTGTTTTTTTTTTTAAACACAATGCAAATTTTTCCTTCAACTTCACGAATACGAACCAGATTGTTTTGGTGTTTCATGTTAAATGGCAATAAAATAAGTTGAAGTTTGACTTTAGGAATGCACTGTATAAAAATAAGGGCTAAGGCTGATGATTTCTCTGCAAACAGCCAAGACCAAAAAATGTAATTGTACAGTCTTTAAAATGCAAGTTCTTGCAATACCTATTAAAAACCTTCAAAGGTTAACTGTCAGAGTGACTGTCTGATATGAAACAAATGGTAACAAAAGCAAAAAGATGTTTTGGCTTAAAGCTAGCACTATTTTATTTTTATTTTATCCTACCTTACTTTTCTGTTTAGTTAAAACTCTGGAAATGCTTCACATGTTCTGCTCTCAGTATGCGTTTCACACAGAAAACTGCATCCTGCCTCCATATTCTTTGTGACTAATAACAGGTTTTGCTGTAAATTAAATCTTATAATATACTACTGTATCTTGACAGATCTAAGTTGTGACATCCATAACTTACTGAACTGGATTTCTACTAAATGACTATGACAAAAGAGTTATCTGTTACACGTAGGCTATTAAATAATACAATTCTCATAGAGCCAAACTTAAGAAAAAACAATTCCCTTTAAGATTAGGGACATTATTGAGTTACTTTACCAGGACTCATTTCCACTGAACTGTACTTTTTTTCCCTGATGGAAACTTTTATTTAAAGGACTCCTTCTTCAGCCCCTCCACTTCTATAGGACTCACTTATGTAAAATGTTTTCCTGCATTTCCTTATTAAATTGGCATTGCACAGCAGTGCAAGATTGTGAGTTAACGTTCTTATTTCCATTGCAGTTCTGCTCCATGAACACACAAATTGGAGCCCAATTACCCGTCGTTTTCCTTGGATGCACTGCAGATATGAGGCCATATTGAGCATAATTGCATCCAGTGAAATGCATCCAGTATATTGTTATTCTTTCTTACTGACTTCCCAGTTGGGGTTCAAATCAGCTGTGGCTTTTACTAACAGACAGAACATCTCAACATCTCTCTTGGTCTCTGTTTTATTTTATTTTTTTATTTTTATTTTTTAACTGTAGACCTTTTTGTCTTTATTTCTAGTTTGGTGATACTTCCAAAGTGCAGAAATGTACGTGAGGGTTTGTCTGCAGAAATCATTAAAGCGCTATCTGATTACAATCCAAGCTGATTTCACTAAGAGCAAACTGCTGTAATGTTCGAGTTAATTTCACTTGTTATACCCCCACCTTACCTTGGAGCAAGTCACCTCCTTCCTTGCCCAGCAGTCTTGCTTGGATGGCGTTCTACCGTACAGAGACATTATGTAACTTACCCCTGCTAACCGTTCTTATTGCTCTGACTTGATCTCTTTTTTACCCTCACTAAACTTCCCTCCAGCACAGCCATGCATGGTAAAGTGCTTTCTGGCTCTGCGACGCCATCTAGCGGTATTCCAACTATGTATTGATTGCAATCCTTTCCTATTTTTTTCCCCCTTTGGAGAGCAACAATTTGTTTTTAAATTAATTAAAAATATTATAGATATGATTGTCTTGATGAAACCATGCATTTTTTAGGACTTCTGTTGATTTTTTTTCTTCTTCATTACATGTTATTCCTTCCAAACAAAGCACAAAGTAGAAATTGTTATTAAGAGCAGGTAAAATAAACCTGTGAAACTCCACTTAAACGTTGCATAGTTACGAACTTGAAATTGTTTTAAGGTGAAAATGAAGGCCTTTGAATTTTGCACGCAACTTTGAAACTCAACTGTGAGGCAACATGTGCCCAATTTCTTATGCAAGTTACGAGCGCCTTCCCACACCTGCTGTTGTTTTTGTCTCTTCACGGGAAAATGAACTTCTCGCAGTTTCGGGCGGTGCGGATGTTGTGCGCTCTCGCGGCGGGCTTGTTGCTCGTTCCTCCTCTGCTCTTTTCTTTTTTCTGTCTGTCTGGTCTGGTGTGCTAGAGAGAGGCTGGTTATGTGACAAAAGACCGCCCAGTCCCGCCTCGGAAGGAGAGAGAGAGAGCGAGAGAAAGGGAGGGCTACAAAACCCCAGGCACCTAGGTTTGCAGACTTCTTTAACACCAGCCCAACGATTCTGAAGAGACATTTGCCTGTTTGTGTGCCAGTGAGCAAGAGACGCTCGACTGTTGTTTAGCAGCATGTGGATCACTTATGGGCACCTGCGGTTGACAATAACAACTGTATTTAATAGTCAACAAACAGTAGTGGTAATAATAATAATAATAATAATAATAATAATAATAATACTGTAGGTGTAAAATTATGTTTACTATCAAGTGATACGTATTTTATATCAGCTGCATTGGTTGCCTTTAGGCTCTTCACGTTTATTCATTATTACATACCCTCCCCATTCACAATAATAGTGAGGCAAACAGAGCAGCACTATTTCTTTAAATCTGTTTCTCTGGCTGTGTGTTCAGCACAACTATAATTGACTTCCCATATAGCAAAACCTATATGTTAATGATAGACACATGGGCTGTCATAGGGTAGTGGAAAAGGGGGGTTCATAACATTAGCCCGTGTCTCTTTAAAAAAAAAAATCAAGTTTCTTGTTGTATTCTGGAATGAGGTCAGACACGAGGCTTCTCATTGCACGCGCTGATTATTATTAGAATCCTTTGCTCGCCAATCAGGTGCGAGAGGGGGCGTGGCCTGGCCCCAAGCAGCGTAGCGACAGCGTAGGGGCAGTCTGATTGGTGGATTTTTATCGCCGTTGTATGAGAGAGGAATAAATGCAGGCAAGGGGGGCAGCAGTCTGAAGGGGTGCTTGAAACAGCGACTGTTAGTCTTTGCAGATGGGAGGCAGGGGAGTGTGAGTTGCTCTAGCTTCTATTTTTTTCCTTCTTCTTTCCCCTACCACAGCATGCACGGCTTTTGATTCTTGGAGTAGATGCAGAGAAAAAGCACTTACTTTTACACATTGTATACTTGGGGGCCCTTTGTAAGTGCCTGAGCGCATGTGTGGGCACTCTGCTCCTGCAGCTTTGTAGATTGTGTTCAGTGATCACAGGGCTGTGTTGATTCTTTCTCTCTTTTTTTTCTTTCTTTTTTTTTTTTTTTTTTCCAACACCGAATATACGCTCCACAACAAAGACGAACTGTTTTAACACCAACAGCACCTGGAAATTAAACTTTTTTTCCTGCATGTAGCCTTTTTAGGCAACTCTGGACTGTTTTCGAGTATCCTGCGCATCTCAGGAGTGAATAACTGCTTGCACTGTTTGCACTCAGCACAAACTGTCAGAGTGGGAGAAAAGAGCTGAGTTTGCTTTAAAGTGAACCAGAGGAACCCAGGAGAGAGGGGGGAGAAAGAGCAAGCATCCCGCTCTTACTTTAACCGGACAGCATGGTGCAGAAAATGAGCCACACAGAGAGCACCGCCGAGGCGCTGTCCTTTTTTACCGGGGACTCAGGCTCCGACTCCGGGGCAAGCATGGATCTGGACCCGGCCGCCTCGCCTCTCTCCCCAGCGGGCTCCGCAGCCTCCTCCACCGCCGGCGACAAGCTCGGGGAGAACCCGGCGTGGTGCAAAACTCCCAGCGGCCACATCAAGAGACCCATGAACGCATTCATGGTGTGGTCGCAGATAGAGAGGAGGAAGATCATGGAGCAGTCCCCGGACATGCACAACGCAGAGATCTCTAAGCGGCTGGGGAAGCGCTGGAAGCTGCTCAGAGACAGCGACAAGATTCCCTTTATCAGAGAGGCAGAGCGGCTTCGACTTAAGCACATGGCGGACTATCCCGACTACAAGTACCGACCGAGGAAGAAGGTAAAGTCGAGCGCATCTAAAGCTGGCAGCAGCAGCGATAGAGGAGAAAAAGTTACCGGTAGCTCAAACAACACCAGCACTAAGATGTCCTCATCTGCGAGGAAGAACGGATCAAAATCACCCAGCAGCAGCAGCAACAAACCCCAAAAATCACTTTTCGGGAGCAGCAGTAGCACCAAAGCTTCACTGTTCGCATCTGAACACCCGTCAGAGCACCACCACAACTCTCTCTACAAGTCCAAATCTGTCTCCTCGGCTGCCAAGCAGATACCTGATGCCAAGAAGCCCAAGAGAGTATACGTTTTCGGGAGCGGCGCGGCCAGTCTGAGCGTCAGTCCCACGTCCTCCGTGGTGGTGCCAGCTAGCCCTACGCTCAGCAGCTCGGCGGACTCTAGCGACCCGCTCAGTCTCTACGAGGACGCGGCCAGCGGCAGAGAGGAAGGCGCCGACTCCCCCGGCAGCAGCAGCAGCAGCAGCAGCAGCAGCTTCGGCGGAGCTTCGGAGCGCCGCAGCGGCCACACATACAGCAACACACGGCGGGCTTCTTCGCCTACTCCCTCTGGGTCGCACTCTTCTGTCTCTTCCTCCTCGTCTTCCTCGGAGGACGAGGAGTTCGAGGACGACTTGCTGGACGTCAACCCGAGTCCGAGCTTCGACAGCATGTCGCTGGGGAGCTTCGGCTCCTCGGTCCTGGACAGGGACTGGGACTTGAACGGCGAGTCCGTTTGCGGGGGTTCCCACTTCGAGTTCCCCGACTACTGTACGCCCGAAGTCAGCGAGATGATATCGGGAGACTGGCTGGAGTCCACCATCTCCAACCTGGTGTTCACATACTGACTGAGTGCTAAAACTCGCAGACGCAAACAGAAACAGAGGAGCTCCTGCTTACCAGTGGGTTTCACTACTGCAAACCATGTCCCTGCAAATCATTGGAAAGCTTAACTCTAAAGCGAATAACTTGCTTTTTTCGGGACTTTTCTTCGGATGCCTGGACTGAGGGAGTCGGAGGGGAGCCGTCCAAACAAGAGGAGACAAAAAAAAAAAAAAAAAAAACAGACTGAGAGCTTCCTGACAGCTCAGTGCAGGACTGTTTTTAAACTGAGTAACTTAACTGTGATTGATTTGCACGTTATGCGGTCCGCCGTACACTTAATCAATGTCGTTAATGAATTTTTGACAGAAAAAAGGGACATTTTCACAACTTTTTAACCAATCGCCAAGTGAACTTCGCCACTAAAGGAAAAAAAAAAAACAAGCAAACAAAAAAGGTACAGACTAGGACTGCCGTGCGACAGTTTTTTTATTTTATTATTATTGCATCACCAAGAGGCTTTTTTTAAAAATGAAACCGAGGTGGGTTGATGTTTTTTAAAAGTTATTTTCTCAAGAAACAAAAAAAAGCGTGTTTAGCATGATAGACTACTTTGTTCCTATATCTTGTGCTGAGATTTTCTGTGCGACTGTTTGAGCAGTTTGTAAACTAGTATTAGGGTTATTTAAAAGGATCTAGGTGGCGCTCACTTCGGTTCTACTTTTTTTACGGAGAAAAAAAAAAGACTGAAATAATCACCAGCTCACTTCAGGACACAAACACAACTTCAAGTCTGTGCTTAACTGTATTGCTACATTTTTTTTTCCCTCTATCAGGACCAAAATTCTATAACGTTATTTTCCAGACCATAGCTATAGAGAAATCATCAGCGATTTCTATTTTGTTTTGTTTTGTACATGTATTCAGATGCCATTTTTATATGGGGATGCTGTATTTATATACTGGGCCAAGCATCTTTTGTTTTGCTAGTTCTTTTATACATGATCCTGTCAGTATGTCTGTGTCTGTCACATTTCCTTCTCAGGCGAAGGGCTAGAGTTTTAAGAACACACAACCTTTTTAATTTCCTTTTTATATTTAAATGTACACACTTTTTGGACACTTAAAAGAGAAGAAACAGTTTGATTATTTTCTCAGTGTATTTTTGTACAAATCTATATTGAACACGGGGGTATGTGTAGCCTAACTAATACAGCTGTATTGGATTTCCTTGTTTTTTAATGCCCTCAGCAGGCTGGTTTTTTTTCATGCTGCCTTCAAGTGCTTATGGTAAGCTTGTTACTTCAGGCTCAGTTACTTTAGTAGATTAGATCAAACAGTAGAAGTGTCCGTTTTGTATCCTTGAGGTGCCTATTGTTGGACTTATTCTTTCAAATTTAAAGATACACTTCCACTTTTTTGACAGAAAATGCGAGTTAGTAGAAATCTGGTTGGTAGGCCTTATTTGTCCTCTTTCACAAAAAAAAACAAAAAAAAAATCCAGAAACCCTCTTTAAGTCCTCTTTGATGTCAAACACTTAAACATCTGCAGCACAGACGTGAAGGTGATTAGGACATAATTGCAATTTTTCCGACAGCACTTGAAAGCAGCACCAGTCTCAGCCCCCTTTTCCAACGTTTACAGTGCCAGACTGCAGGCTCATTTTTTTTAAAGACACAGGAGCACGAGTCTTTTTAAGAGGCTCCTCCTGTGGGACCATGTGGTTTAAACAGCAGCACTATCCTAAAAAGCAGTCGCTTGCTTTTATTTTTTTTTTTATTTTTTAATCATATTTTTTTGCGTCCAACGTCTTGAAGATTGTAGCTTTAAATTTGACTTTGTTTCTTGATGTTTTCACTCACTGATGTCACATCTTGCCATTCGGCCAGTGGATTGAGGCGGGCTGTCCATATCACAAACAAACAAAGATGACAACATCAAGCATATTCAAATTTCTGACCTGAGTTGCGCAACACTTTCTTGTACTGCGTTTCTCATTGTATTTGAATATATAAACTTTTCTACTTGTCGGCTAACTACTAGCTAATAATTGTTTTAGTATCTTTATGGCATGGTGAATAGCATTTGTATTTCAGATTCAGGTTATTATTAGCTGTTGTGTTTTTTCAGAAAAAAGAATGGAGAAGAAAAAAAGAGGAAAAAAAAACAATGAACTTGATCTTTGTATATTTTACTGTACCATAAAGCAAAAAGATTGTGTGTTTATGTATGTTGTTGCTATCGAGGACAGGCACTGTTTAGAACTGCTATCTTTTACACATCCTTACTTACATTTAAGGTGGTCAGTTCAGACTGTTGTTTTTTTTTATAAATATATAAATATATGAAAGCATTTTTAAATATATTAACTTTATTTTTCATCCATCCTGTGCAATATGCTGTGTAGAATTATCATTTATTGTCTTTAATCATGCCATAAACAAAGAAGCCACCTCTTTTTTCTGATTAAAAAAGGGGTAGGTTGACTCATGCCAGCTAAATTTTGTCCATTCACTGCCTGTCAGATTGTTGATACAAACTTGTGTACAGAACTTTTTCAAGGAAGGAAATAAATATCAGCTGGAACTGAAACTCCTGAGCTCTTTTATTGCATTCAGTGTTTTTTGGCAGTTGCAGCACAAAGTGGTGAAACTGCAAAGACAGACACATAATGATCATCAGGATAACTGCCAACATTTAGTTTCATGCATTTTTTTAGCATTATGATGTTGCTTTGCAAAAATCCAAGAAATGGAGAGTAAAATGTAAACATCTTTTCACTGCGCCAGATTTTATTTTTTATTTTTTAGCAGTTCTATCTTTTTAATTTTGTTGGGTAAACAAAGGCAGCTGATAGTGAGCCTCAGTGTGTGGATTAGGCTTAAGTGCTTTAAACAACCAATAAGAAATGATCTAGCAGTGATGGAAAACTGCTTTGAGAAAGCCACTTCAGTTTGTTTTTGGGATATGTTCCTGAACAAATGTCACGTATACAGACACTTTTAAAGGGAAGCAAACTGACTGGAGTGTGTAAAAGAAAAATAATACACAAAACAAGTTCAGTAGATACTTTAGATTTATGACAAGTAATGAAAGATTTGTGGGATAAAACTTTACAAATACATCAGTTTCACACAGAATCAATACATTTAAACTGCCTCCCCACAGGCATGTGTTTTTAGTTTTGACAAACATCTGGATTAATAAGCATTTAGAAAGCTGAATCAAACCTTAAGCAAAAGAAAAATAATAATAATAAAAAACACAAACCTAGAATTAACTAGATGTGGCATAATTTTGCACCTATTTCATTGAAAGGATCTAAAAAGGGCTAAGTCTGTGTTATGCATTGGGGGGCACACTGATCTGAGACCTGCATCGCCAATGCCGAGGATTACGTCACCGCACTGCATGGACCAGCTAAGGATTTTACGAAAACTCTTAAATACTACGTGGTCCTTTAAAGGACCAGATAGTGTGGCACCTTTTTTTGTGTGTGTGCGATATCAAAGACAGACGTCTCTGCACATGAAAAATTGATTTTCAGCTCAAGGCGTTGCAAATTGTGAACACAGTAGCTGGAAACTATGCTGCTCCTGTGTGAAAGCAGAAAATAGGCTGGTGTCACATGTTGTAAACAGAATACGTTTGTTGTTTCCTCCCCAGCACCACATGACTGCATTAAGTGCTTAATATATTAGATTTCCTCATGGTGTGAAGTAGTGTATAATCAAAAATTGCCAGATCGTTTGCAGAAGCGTGCAGCATTTAAATGATCAACATACTGAAGGGAAATTGAGAGCCGTTATTAAAAATGCCTGCGTAAAGATATTGGTTGAAAGACAAGAATCCACCTTTATAAATATACCATGCAGCAAATTAGATCGGGATTATTTCTAATTGCCTCAGTAGAAGAAATTCTATTCTGTGTCACTGCTGCTTGCTGTGCTGGGGTCCAGACAGTTCTGATTCCCCTTCCCCCTCTCCCAGACAGGGCCTTGCAAGGGGGGATGGGCAGCAGCAGTCCGCCGAGGGCCCTCCAGCATCGCTGACAAGCATGCCTGTCTGTCTGCTGGATGTGTGTTAGTGTGTGAACATGTATGAGCGTTACATGACATGCATGACATGGTGTGTCTATCTACTCCTTTCTAACGGTGGGTTTTAAGAGCAAAGCATGTGGGCTGAGGAAAAAGGTACTCTTGTTATTTACTGCATAGAGATTCACGAATCAACCTTTTCCTGGTTGATTTTTTTTTCGGTCCTGCTGAAAATATATATTTTTAAGAACTATAATATATGTAGACAGTAAAAAAAAAAGTGCTGGAGATTTTGTAATAGAGACAGCAATTTGGATCAGCAGAAAAATGCATCAAGGCAACCTTTACTGACTTTTAAATGTGCTTAAGCAGAGGACACTCTGTTGGTTGAAATGTATAGACTGAAAATGGTGCCATAAAAATAATAGTAAAAACACACACACAATAAATTTATTTTTTTGTATTTGACCTGGATGTCCAACATTAGAGTCAATTAAAGCTCATGTCCATGTTCCATTCCATTCTATTCTATTTTTTTTTCATTCAGAAACACATTGAACAGATTTTTAAATGTTATTCTTTAACTGTATCACAGATTATCTTTGGCATATGAATGAGTCACGCTTATATCCACACCCCACTTAATATTAATCTGTTTTGTTCTATTGGCTAATTGCACTTCATACTGTTAATATAGAAATAACTGATATCGCTTGTAATAAAAGATAATCAGTTTTTTGATGTAGTTCAGCACATTTCTTCAAATTTCTGAGCAAATCCAGCTCAAACTCTTGTGGTCTTTCCAGTTTGATGTGCAGTCTCGGCAAGGCCACAGTAGGACGGAGCAGAACAAGGTGGCTGTGTAAGTCAGAACTTCAGCAAAACCACAGCAGGGGAGAGGATAGGAGCACTGCTGGAGCAAGTTGAGAGAGGAATGACTGCATCCCATGTCAATATATATAGGAATTCTTAGGTAAACACAAAGATGGGGTGGGGAGGGGATTCTTATCCTTTCTCTCGTATTCTCTGGTTTATCCTGTGTTTGCAGTTGGACATTATGAATTTTGTTTCCTAGGTATTTATTACTTTAAAAGGAGTCTTCACTTTGCATTTTCTTTTTGTCTGTAAGAATAAAAAACTAAATATAAATAAACATATTTACTTAGTGTTAGTCTCTGTGTGGCAAATCAATGTGGTTCTGCAACATAGGTGGAGAGGGCTGGTGTTTGCAAGTCTCCACCTGACTTGTTCTGTTTAGATGGTTTTACAGGCTCACATTAACACAAACAGAAACATCACAAATACCAGGCAAGCTGATATATGTCTGTTTTTAAAGCCTATGAAGAGGCTGAAGTTCATAACCAAACACTTGTTTGTGAATGGCTGTTGATATCTATACATATGCAGTGTCTGTACTTGTGAATGTATCATATGTCTTTGTCTGCCAGTATTATTTCTTGCTGGCTGTTATGGAATTATAACACCCAGTGGGGAAAAAAAAAAAAAGAAAAAAAAAAAGAAAAAAAAAAGTTTTACAACTGGGAAATCAGAGACATGGCTGTAACTTCTTCCTGCTTTCGCAACATTTATTTTCCTGCTGATGTTTTTGAAATGAAAAACAGCCTTTACTGGTACACCACTACATATTTGCATATGCATTTTGAAGCTATAAAATGCATATGCAAATACTTGTATTTTCACTTTTACTGTAACTTTGTAATTAGTCAATGTGTAGATGAAACTACTACTGAAATGAATCGGGTTCAGAACCTCTTAGTCAAAAAGCCTTTTCCTATCTACAAAGAAAAGAATCACATTCTGACCTTAAGGTGAACTCTTAAGTAAACACTGATGCAGAATCTCGGATGAGCATTCCTCGGTCAACACAGACTGAATGGCTTTCTTCAGTTCCTCTGCTGTCATTGCCAAACTACCTCCATAGGCTGACAAACAAGTGCAGAAAATTGATGCTGTCTTTCACAACTCCCCTTTCAGTTCGCTGATTGGCCAGATGAAATGTATCCTGAGAAATTGAACTCAATGGGACAAATCCCAGATGGAGCACTGAAGGGAGATGAGAAACTGGCAGAATTGCACAGAAATTCAATGGCCAGGCAAACAAATCATGAAAAGTCAAGAAGGTGAAGTTTGGTTTTATCTGGCCAACGCACATTCTGCCGTACGGTTTCAGTAAATCTTAACCAGGCCTGAACAAGCGGGTAAGTCTGCAGATGAAGAACATCTGTAGAAAGTTCAGAATTTCTCAAGTACCACACCTAATTGGATGAACAAAATCAAGCACAACAAATGATTGGATTATTATGTAATTGCATTGTAAAAGTCTGACAGGATTAACAGTGTGTGGACTTTCCTTCAAAACAGGAGGTGATTGGATAAAATTAATTTCTGCCTCTAACTTTTAATTTTATTTACTTCTTCTTTTTTGTAAATTTTACTAGCTTATCTGTGGACTTTCATTTACATATTTTGTTTTCTGAGCTTGATAATTGATTATCACTAGAGATTTTTCAGAAATATTTAAGGGTAAATTACATTTGATAATTTCATTAGAAATCAAAATCCATTGTCTTTAAATAAGTGAATGGCAGTTAAAAACAAGTATAATAATAATAATAATAATAATAATAATAATAATAATAATAATCATCATCATCATCATCATCATCATTATCATCATGATAAAAATAAAATTATCATAAAATAATTATGGTGATATCTAAGTTGTCCTCAACATGAAAGATGGTATCCTTCACTTCATGTTGTCTTGTTAAACCCTTTAAAGCAGTCACCACATATTAGTGATTTCTATCAGTTTCTGTAAGGTTTCTGCAGCTGGAGCAGGAACTTTTGCTAATTACTTAGCTGAACTGACTGTCTCAAATTTTAAAAGCCACTTATTCACAATCCATAGAAAGAAGTTTGAGCTTCTTTCTATGCTGCAGATCTTACAGCGGAGACCTGCACCATAGATCACATCTTTCAGAAGAGCACTTATAAAGGCCAAATAATATTTTTAGCTTTTGTTTTTGGGGCATTGTCTTGTTTGAAGACTCATGACCTTTGATTGAAACCAGTATTTTTGAGAAATGGAAGCAAATTTAGTTTCACGTCTTAGCATTTCATGGTACTCAGTCCAGACTCTTGCCAACCCAGACCAGGTGCAGCCTGCCACCCAAGAACAAAAGAAAACATGTGTTTAACAGAAAAAGCTCTTTCTTTGAAACTTTCATTTTAACAAAGAGCTGCTGTAACTTACCTGAAAATTAAGTGTTTTCTTATTTGTCCATTTGACAGTGTTTTTGATTTTCCAACATTTAAAGAAATGGAGTAGTAAAAACAACTAAATATGAGCACATTTTGGAGTCATAGTACAGCACTACACTTCTAGCCTATACCCAGTTGCCTTCATGCTGCAAGATCAGATACGATTTGTGATATCTATATCTTAGAAAGGAATTTTATTCTTAAAATGTTCATTTTGTGTTCACATAGCCATCATGGCAAACGAGGAAAGTTAATCTTTCTGTTGTGAGGAATGTTTTTTTTTTTTTGTTTTGTTTTGTTACATACCATAAATGTTATATTACATGCAAATCAGGGCGCACGAGACAGATTCAAGAATTTTTTTATTCGTTTTGCACATACTTAGACAACATTGAATTTATTTTTGATATTTAACATTTTATTGCCATGACGACATAAGACAACTTGAAGATGTGAATGCATGCATCATGTTTTTTTATGGAATTTTATTTTCAAAAACATTGATTTTAATTCTTCATGGCATCAGTTAGAAAAATGAAACATAGCACATTTATGGTGTTGCTAGTTGTTGATGAGGGGACACTACAGTAGAAAACCTGGACTACTAACCTAGCACAAAAGTGGCTGCAGTACGCCGGAGCAATGGATTCACTATAAAAGCCCCTCAGCTTTTTTTCTTTTGTCACTTTCCCAGAAACCTGCAGCACAATCATTACATGTTGCTTGACAACTGAAACAGGAAGAAATGAAATAAGACTGAAATTCTGAGTATTTCTGCCAGTCAACAAGGTCAGCAGTTGTAACAGAAACATGATGAGATCACCTGCAGTTTGCTGGTGCAGTTGCATCCTTCTGGTGCTTTGTAACCTGTCTGCAAACTGTGGCAAGGATCTATCAAAGTCCAATTGTTTAGCATTTCAAAAAACATGACAGTGAATGTTAAATAAATTAGAGCATGTGTTCTGACTTTGCTCATTTAATCTCCAGAAAACAAACCTTTACATTCAACCTTAATAACTTTAGATAAAAGCCAAACAATAATCTAAACCTAAAATGTGGTCCAGACCATCCCCCCTCCTTCCAGTCAATGTGTTTTGTTTTTTTTCCCCCCACTGAGATTAATCGAACACACCAGTTCCTTGCACTGCTCATGGGTGTGCTTCCATGGCAACTTATGTCCACATGACCTGAAAGGGAAGGTGAAAACCAGTATCTTAAAGTTAAATCAATAAACTTAAATAAATCAACTCAACTTAAAATAAGCATATATGTAAATTAACTTAATTTGATGCAAATAAAGTACTTAAATACAGCACGTGTTAGTGAGGGACTGAATCCCTCATAGACTTCATTTAATTGACCAACACAATAAACTTGTCCATCACTGTGAAGTGGAAGGAACATGGTTCCCTAGAAAATTTTGTCCACATTGAAATGATGACATCACACAGTCGCTTCAGATTTCTTGGCTGCATATCCGTGATGCCAATCTCCTTTCCTGCCACAAGCCAAAGATGTTCTATTAGACTGAGATGTGGTGACTGTGGGAGCCATTGGAATTGGTTTTTCATTCTCATGTTCGACAAATCAGTTTGAGATGGTTTGAGCTCTGTGATATTGTGCATTACCCTGCTGGAAGTAGGCATCAAGATGGGTACAATGTAATAATGAAGAGATAGAAATGGTTTGCAATAATACCCAGGTAGGCTGTGGTGCTGAAAACAATGCTTTGTTGGTATTACGTGATGCAAAGTGTGCCAAGAAAATATTTCCGGTACCATTATGCCACCAGCAGCAGTCAGAGCCGTAGATACAAGGCTTTTGTGTTCTTGATGCCAGAATCTCACTCTGCCTGAATGTAGCAGCTTAAATTGGCATTCGTCGGACCAGGCAATGTTTTTTCCCATCTGTTATTGTCCAATGTTGAGAACTGTGGCCTCAGTTTTCCATTCATGGCTGACAGGGCTGTATCCTGTATATTGTTCTGGTGCTCTAGCCTATCTACTGCCAATGATTCGTATCATCAGAGATGCATTTGGCATACCTTGGTTGTACTTGCGCTGAGTGGTCACCGAGCTCCTGTTTGCCACCCTAACACATCTAACTATATTTCTCTGACCTCTCACATGAGCAAGATATTGTAGCAGCTTTATAAAATGCACAAAACAGTCTGTCAACAACCATGCAACATTTAAAGTGTATCTAAATTTTCCCTATTTTGATGATTGCTTTTTACCTCAACAAACTATCTTCATTATGGCCATTGGAGTTATGTGATTGGCTGATTTATTTATATTTTCATTACTGGCTATTGGATAAATGGCCAGTTGTCCATTCATCCATTGGACTAATGTCCAATTAGTTAAATTGCCACGGGTCAAGTGACCCGTGAGTTTATAAGTAAAAAAAAAAAAAGAAAAAAAGAAAAAAATGTCTTCTCCTGTTACTTTGAACATTATAGTTTATCACTTTTATTTATCTTTTACACACATTAATTTACCTGCCCGTTTATGTTATCAGGAGTATTATAGGTAATTGTACATTTTTATGTTGATACCACTTTATGCAGCACAGGATAGCGGCAGCCTTTTGTCTTTTTCTTTGTTTCATTGCTGCTGTCCAGACACAATGGCAGTCTCCTGCTGGCGCAATCAGGGAAGTTCTTGTCAGCCAGCCCTCCGCGCCTTTTATTCTCAAACCTGGTCAGAGGAGTCAAGGTAGACAAGTAGAAATGAGCAGCCTTAAAGTTAACTTAGTGCGGCTTTTCAGTCAAATGAAAAAACAGGAGCCAATCACACCAAATTTGTTTACGTGAAAGAGAAAAATAACCACATCCAAAAATGCATCCAAATCATATTCTCAAACAATCACGAGATTCCTCTGTCCGATATTGTTTGTGCGCATAGTTGTTTGACTTTGAGAGGGCGGGACTCTGTGGAGAGCGAAGTGAACTAGGCGCGGCCAAGCGGAGACCCATCCATCTATCACACGTGTAGACAAAGGGGGGACTCCACAACACAGAGCTTGATGTGCCCCTCTCAAACTTTTTTCCACGGACGCACGGGAACGCGCGCACAGCAAACCAGCCCAGGTGAGTTGCCTCCGACCGGGATGCTGCAATCGCTTGCCCCGTCTCTGGAGTGACTTGGTTTGAGTGTGTTTCCAGTGAAAAGTTGCGGCTGTACTTGGTGCGTCAGCGCTCAAAACTTGAGCACAAAGCAGGAGGGAGAGGACGAGAGACATAGAGAAATCAAGGCAAGAGAGAGAGAGCGCGAGAGGAGCGGTCCCCTTTTCCTTTGTCTTTGAGGAGAGAACTTGAGGGGATGCTCAAAGACGCATCTTCATAACGCTCACTCATAGCAAACTTGTTCTGCTTCTCAAAGTGTTATGTCTGGGATTTTAATGGATGTGAGATGGAGTAAGTGCTGGTGCCGTGTTTTTGTCTCCCGGGGATGTTGCGACACGCAAAACAAAGCCTGTCAGAAGTTTGCAAGGGAAGGACGCTTTACGCACGCACGCAGGAAAAACAAAAAAGTGACTGGATTAGTTCATGTAAATAGTTGAATGTAGTCTCGTGTATAGAGATTTTTTATTATGATTTTTTTCATAAGTTGCGTTTTTGTTTTTGAGAAGTTGGCGCTGCACTGAGGAAATTCTCTACAATGCAATCAGGTGTAAAGTCTGCAAGAAACAAGCCAGTGAGTCACAATCAAACGTTTCTAATGCTGTATTTGAAGGGCAAGAACGATGTTGCCAGACGAAAAGAAAAAAAAAAAATAAATGCGTTCGTAGAATCCTTAAGAAAGTTGCTGCGGTGCGTTGAAAACAGATCAACAGGTATAAGTCGCTGCAGCGCGTCTTTGTTACTGTAAAGGTTCCTTTGTTCTCAGCCTCATACAAAGAAGAGCGACTGAAAAGAGCGCAAATCCACTTGGAAATGTCCCATTTGATTTTCTTCACTTCATAGGACATTTTTTTTTGCTAATATTGATATTTCAGTTTAGGTTATTTAAGAATAAACACATTACTTTGCATCTTAAAAATGATACTCACCAACTGGAGTTTTACTTGTCAGGACCAAAACACAGCAGCATTTAATGGGGCTTTGTACACACAACACAACACACACTCAAACAAACAAACAAACAAACAAACAAACAAACGAAGAAAAAGGAACCCAGTATTTAAATATAGTTTGTCCAAACTATTTGAAGTGGTACATTCATCAGTGTTGTACTTTTATACGGTCTGATATTAACTATTAATCTGCAATGAAGAATAAAAACTGATTTAACCAGATGACTTTGAATAAGTTTGACCAAACTTACTGAAGTTCTTTGTTCTGCTTTATTAATGTGATTAAAAAAAACTTCTTTAAATCAATCATTTCTGTTGTTTTGATAGTTGTTTGCTGTTGAAAAAAAACAAACAAACAAAAAAAAACAGTATAACTTTAAAGCTAGGGATTTCCTTACACGATATTCTCAGAAGTTACATACTATATGTCATGTTACTGTAGATTTAAAATGTATTCTTGAAAATAACTAAGATAAACAACTTTGAATTTCAGTGTTCATATCTAAATGAGGTAAAAAGTGCCAGTGCTCCATATTGAAATTAAATAGGCTACTGCTGTTTTTGTTTGTCAGTCTTATTTCTTTTCCACGAGCTAGAAAAAAAAAGTAAAAACTGGAATTTAAAATAGAAATACAACATGAAACACAGTACATTTGTAAGTTACTGTTTAATTAACAGCAAAACCATCTTACTGTTTTATGGGACTGATTTCCCACCAGTTTAACATTACATTTTGTGTAAAAAAAAACTGTAATAGTTATTGGATAATTCTTGACAATGGGCTACTCTTTTACAAAAAAATACTTTACAGTTTACAGAGCAAAACTTTGATTTAGTTGCTACAGTATGTTTAATCTGTTTCTCGATTCCTCTTTGCCCTTAGGTGGAATTATCGAGCAAGGCGTCTCCTGTGGAAGGTCAAGAAAATGGGCAAAAACAATATGCTGAAGCAATGCGAAGATGGCACAGGATCACCTATCAGACGACGCTTTAAGATGGAGAGGAGGATTAAGAGACTGTGCAGGTTCTTTTTGGGGAGAAGGTAAAGACTTATCTCAGGTTGGATTTAAACTTTTGCAACAGTGGTGCCAGTTGGATTGTGTTTTAGGGCACACGTGAAAATCCCAAACTCATGGAGACACTTTAAGGATTATCCGAATTCATGGTAAATCTCTCCGCAAGACACATCTTGAGCCAGAGTCTCTGGGATAGCAGGATATTGCACTTCTGATCCTCCTCGGCCCTCGGCACGGGTAGGTGATATTACTTTTGAGTGGGCTCTGGCAGTTGTCCAGCTGCTTGTTTCCTCTCTCGTGTCAGCCAAACAAACACACAAAAGACAGGTAATGAAAAGTTGCCTAGTATTACTGAGGATAAAGAATAAAAATTACCATTCAGATACTGTTCAAGAATGAGGCCGTGGTAAAGACATTGTCATCTCACATGCTGTAATTTACAGATTACAAATGTACCATTAGCCTGTCAACAGCTTGTCCACCATAGTTATTCTATCTAGAAACAAGAACCACTGAAGCAATTAAGGCAAACTGCCGAAACAAACCAAGGACTTATTTTTTCTTCTTTATTTTCATCGAAATGGCAGACTAAGGAAGGCCTGGAGCAGAATTAGGCTCTGATAGAATGAAAAGGTTCAGCAAAAAGTTTTTACAATATTACAGTATTGACATAAAATTCAATCCAGAAATATTCATTCTGCTGCAAAATACCATAATATATTCATTACTACAGGTAAAATAAATAAATAGACCCTTTATATTACATGTATTGATTGTTTTTATATATCCGCTTAGGCAAATTTTATTTCTTATACATTAGCATAGGTATAATAAGCTTATATTATTTGGTTAGTCAGGCTGTCTGTTCCAGCAGTCAACCCACAGTCAGCTGCTAAACAGACATCCTCCGTGAAGCTCGATGACTGCATATTCATAAATGTTTCACCATCTGAAATTGTGTTCCAGGGGCCAAACAAATTCAGACTGTCTGTGCTTTAAGCAAACAGAAATAATATTACCCAACATCACCAAATTTGTTTCTTTTTTGTAAGTTAGGCTAACTGCCAAGCAGTATTCAGAAACAGAGGGGGAGGGGCAGGGCTCCTTCATTTTATCCATTATGCTACCCGAGATAGCTCTGGCCACTTTCTCATGAAAAAGACTTTTTCGTTGCATTGACAACGTGACAACATTTTTGTGATTGTGAAAATGTAATGTTTTCAACCTTTAATGCTGCCAGCAACCCATAACTTCTCTAAAATTTGTAGTAAAATAAAAAGAATAACCAGAAGTCATGGTTTCTTATTCTGTTGTCTAAATTCAGCTAACTCAGATGAACTCTGTGTTCAATGTTTTGACTGGTTACATTTCCAAATGTGCTGTATTAGCAGTGGATCAACTCTGCAAGAATTTGGAGGGAAAATTTTCCTTTCCCATTGATTTAAAGTTCTATTTACAAGATGTCAGAGAAAGCGCTGGAGTGAGCTGCAATGTATTCTAGCTCCTAGAGGCATAGATTAACACAGTACTGCCCCTCTCCCACCTGTTGCTGTGCCCTGCTGGTCAGCTGCCAGAATGAAGCCATCTGTACTTTTACAATGCTTACAAGAAAGAAAAAATTTGACTCTTTCAAAAATATTTTCAGTCGGGAAAACCACCGACACGAAGACATCACATTTATTAAGATAACGACCAGAGTATCAAACCTCACTCATATCAGCTTCTTGTGCGTATGTGACTATAAAGTTTCACATTTTAGAAAGATACATTATGCACTATAAACACTTGGAAGCAACTATTGACTTTTTCTTAATTTTATGTAGCAGAAGCAAAATTACAAAAATAAAAAATGGTTAAAGATGAGATGACCATAGGTGTAATAAGCTATACTATTTCAACAGCAGTTGGAATATTTCTTACTTTTTCTCATTCAAAAGCAGAAATTTGGTGATGTTCGACATTTTTGTTTTTAATCCCTATAATAACTTAATGAAACCAGGATAGTTTCACTCAAAATTGAAAATCTCATTCTGGCCTTGCCTACTTCATGTGACATCCAGCGGTTCAGTTTCATAAGGGGGAACATGAGACCAAATGCATTTCATAACCTTGCGTTAGATGTCTGCAACACAGTTGTGTGGAACCAAGCAGCTCTCTAAAGATGCATGACTTCATCTGAGTGCGAGTGTGGGATTCAGCCCTTTCTCTCGCTCCCTCTGTGGAGGTCTTTATCAATGATGTCATTGGGAGCCAATTACAACTTACAACCGTTTTCGTCATCATCCGAGCTCCGCCCCTCAGCCCCCCCCAAACCAGTTACTCCTGCGTGACAACCCACATGGTCCTGCAGCATCACATTTTCACCATGCATTTCTCTGCAGCGCCGAGGCACAGATACAACTGGAGCACGGCCTGTAGCGAAGGACTCGGATGTAAATAGTTCAGAAATGACCGAGTTAGTAGGGAGGACATCTTTTCACCTGGATTTAATTAGTAGTAAACTACACACACGGATGAATGTGAATGAGCAAACGGTCACCCAGACAACACAGAGGTTTTGTGTTTGTGTGTATAGCATCCATGGAGAGTGTTGGTTTACAGTGGGTTTTAGTCTGAGTTGGATTATTATAGTGCCTCACGAAAACATCCATACTACTTGAATTATTTCAAATATTTCACTTTAGAACCACACACTTCAATGTATTTGTGTTTAAACTTTACCTTTAATAACATAAAGTTACCTAATCTTTAAAGTGCAATCAGTAATACTTTTATAACAAATTTATATCAGTAATGATTTCTTGGTTAATGTCAAGTTGTCATAACAAAGAGATTTTGAATAATGTCAACTTTGTATTAAAAGTGTCATAATTTACCGAATGACGCTTTATGACAACAGTCATAAATATTCATGAAGGCTTATTCATGTGCATGACAGGTGTTATGTCATGTTAATGACAGTGTCATGTCAGTCTTATTCACCCCCCTTCAAATAAAGTGTTACCAAGAAAAGCATCCCCACTGCATGATCATGTTTTACCATGTGTTCAGGTTGAGGTCCAGTGTTAGTTTTCTACATCACAGAGTTTTGCACGTTGGCCAAAGACTCCATGTTGGGTCTTTCTCAGTGGAGCGCCTTCTCCCACACATTGGGCAAAAATTGCCCCCAGACCGTTGGATCTCTTCATCTCCTCCAATGTTCCAGCAAATCTCTCTTAGCTGCTTGTCTTTTTAATGCTCTCGTTGATTGACCTGTAAGTTCATGTCATGGTAGGTTTGCAGATGAGTCATACTTCCCTGAAGTACAGAAATGTTCTGTAACAAAACCTTCCAGGCCTTTTCAGAACAGACGTCTTCATATGATATTTTCATGTATGTCAGGGGTGTCCAAATTCGGTCCTCGAGGGCCGGCATCCTGCATGTTTTAGTTCTCTCCCAGGTTTAGCACACCTGCATCAAATGATGACTCGTTATAAGGCCTAAGGAGAACATTAACTTGCTGAGGAGGTTGTTACTACCACTAGGGAGAGAACTAAAACATGCAGGATTCTGGCCCTCGAGGACCAACTTTGGGCACCCCTGATGTATGTGGATATTTTTGGCTTTGATTACAATTTAAAAATTATTAACTGATGTATGTATACGTATACATTTCCATTGTTGCTTTAAAATCTATTTATGTCCTCTATTAAACAGCAAGTGTTATGACCTGCAGTGCGACATTTACCTGCATCCCGCTGCTGTTGAGCCACAGAACCTGGAAATGATTGAATTAGAGAAAAACCAGGTCAGTCAACTCTGTGACACACAGGTGAGACAGTTTCAGGTCAGTGGAAGAGGGAGATTCCACATGAGTCATGATGTTCATTAGATGACAACACAAGCTCACACATAGTCAGAGAAGTGTAACGTCTCCATCTGTCATTTGGCTTGATTTTTGTCTTTTGGCATGAAGGTGATTTGAAATGTTTTCACTGCGCTGAGACATTCTTGAAAAGTGTGAAAAGTATATGTAATGTGCTCTCAGCTCTTCCCAGGTCTGAATAAGTATAAAACCTTGAACCAAAGGAACTTTTTATTTCATCTACCTTGACTCTTGTGGTCAACAATGTACTCATCACCACTGGTGTTTTTAGATGGGTCTTTGAGAACCCTACATCCTTATTTTTGTCTTTGAGTGTTGGTCCATGTTTCCTTGAGCTATAATGTAAGGAATTGGAGTTGTCATTGTAACACCAATGTGTGCATTATTGCAATTGCAAAGGATTGCATCGATGGAATGTTTGGTAAGCTACTAACCTTCAGCTGCCATACGTTCAACTCTGCATTCCAAAAATATTTTCAGCCAGTCGGGAGGACTTTATGCCAAAACCTATAAATAAGAATTTTGTTACTGAAAGCAAAAGCACACATAGAAGCATTTGACATTTTGGGAAGTGTTGAAGCTTTCTGGAACTGAACAAAATACTGCCTGTGCTTATTTGACATGTTCCTTTTTTTTTTTTTTTTTAGGAATAATTGTATGTGTATCTAAACTAATAATTTAATTAAGGTTAATTATTTTAGATTTGACTCATTGCAAGTAATCCAGTTTTCCACAGATGAAGCTGTCTTCTCTCAAATTAAAATCTGCATTTATTTTAGATGATAAACCTCGTGCAGAAAACAAAGAACAAAGCCAAAAAGAAAAAAAAAAAAAAAGAAGAAAAAAAGAACATTTTAGGATACCTGATTATGATTAAAGCCTCGGTACTGAACTTGCTACAACATAGTGTCTCTAACTGTGTGCCAAGTTCCTGTGTGTGCATTCTAATTACTCTGCTTATCAGTAATGCTTTCATGACATAAATTGCAGCTTTCCTAACATTTGTCATGCTCCATCTGCTTTATGTGAGCTGAAATCAACTCATTTGTGTATGCCATTGAAGGCTGCACATCCACACCTAATTTTTCACTTCATAGGCTTTGCATTCTTGGTTTGCATAAAACTAAAACTTGTAGATACTGGATGTACCGGTATGTAGAGTGTATGTTGTTCTTAATTACCACACTTGCCCAATGTTGGAATCAGTGCATCGGGGAGGGAACGTCTGTAC